TCCCTGCACAAGAATCGAAATTGGGTTTCCTGCTTGTGATGGCAAAGTGCATAAATACTGCGCAACAGATGCTGGGGAATTGGGCTGTGTACGTTTTTTAAAGTTATGAATGCATCAAATTCATAGTATGTATTTATTTGGGTAAACATTCCTATTGGTGTGCCATCTCTTAACAGAAGGTCTGGCGGGACCTGCTTGCGAAATGACGTATAATTGTGTCAAATGTACGAAACTGTATTGTTTTAACGTCCCTTTCAACATTGTTAGGTTATTTAAGAGGCGGGACCTCAGAATTTAACGTTCGTCTCCGAAAGGACTGAGCTAAATGGTGGAGAGCTTTTAAAACTCTATAAACAAGCCAAGTTCAGAGTACCTCGTTAGGGATTTGAACCAGGGCCATCTGCATCTATGACTGTTTAGTTAAACATTATGCTAACTTATACGTTACATTTTTTTAAAAATCACGGCAATAAAGTGCATTTTCTTGGCAAACAAAGCAGATATAGAAATTGTCTATCTTTATATATTCCATGAAATCTTGGTCGGTAAAGAAATTAACGTACAGTGTCTAGGCCTATCTTTGACGACATCTCAAAAAGAAATCTTCACTGTCTGTTAGGTTTCCACGGAATCACACACATACAGGAGTGGGGATCAATTCTTATACTCAAAACGTTTTTGGGCTTGTCCCTTTTGAGATTGCGGAGCGGGTTTCCTCTTAAAACGGCAACGGGTGAACAATGACTTCCAGGTGTCCCTGAAATTCTTGTTCATGCCAACATACACGATGAAATTACAGGAACCGTTTATGCAGACGACCATGTTGACGACCTGGTAGCCGATTCTGCCAACGTTGTTGGGGGCGTCGCCTGTCATGGTGTAGTAGCCGTACTGAGGTAGATATGTGGGCAGGGCGAGGATTCCGCAGGTAACTGTGTACATAGCACACACAGCTAGGAGCATCTTGCTCGTGCGGTTCGACTTGGCGTCCTTCGCTGCTCCAGCTGACGTCATTTTCTGTCGTTTGACAGACGCCAGTTTGATCTTCACAGAGATAAGAATACACCCAACGAGGGTAAAACCCGGTGGGATTTTCAGAGTAAGGTACCTGATTACTTCGTCTAACGCTTTGCTTACTTCTACTTCTTCATAATAAAGGTCTGACCGTCCTATTATTCCCACGGAAATGTTCAGTTTCGGGTCGTATTTATATTGGAACTCAAACCAAAACGAAGAATAAATGTACACCACAAGCCAGTAGGCGTACACAATCGCCACCGCACTCCAAGTCCGGAAAGGAGTAACAATCACCGAGAACTTCATCGGAAAGTACACAGCCACAAGCCTTTCCATCGTTATCAGCATCGGGATAGCCAAAGAACTCAACCCCGCTGCATAGTCCACAATGTGGAAAAAGGTGTAAAACACATAGGAAGCATGAGCCGCTTGTCTGCTGTAGGCCCACGCCATCGGGACTCCAGTCACTTCGTTCAGAATTTTAGGCACACTGTTGAAAGCTACGAGGAAGGTGGTGTCGCTCACGGCGAGACAGAAGAGGAGGATGTTGGAGCACTTGTGGAGTCCGTGTTTCAGGAGGATGATCATGCTGAAGACGTTGCCCGTGATGCCGAGGACAGAGATGGTGGGCGTGGCATAAAACATGAGAACCTGCATCACTAGATGGGCCACCTCGTCACTCAACAGCTCTGCGTTCTTCTCCTTTATCGGGCTCGTGTCGTTGATCCCTTTGTAAATACTCTGTGTGTGCTCTGTAGCTTGTGTCATTGCCAGGGCTGTTTCCGACATCTTCTTATGATGCACTGGCGTATAGTGTCAGTGTTAAAAGTTAAAAGGAGCCCCCCTTCAATCGTTTTGCTCTCCACTTTCGTCTTACTCCGTCGCAAGCTGTGAGCTCACGTTAGAAGGAAGTTCCTCCATTGTAACCCTTTCCTGAATGCAAAAGCTGGCCTGGCAATGGATTTTGATCACCTGAATAGTGGAGGTACAAGGTATATGATACTATTAACTACTACTTAACGTTAATACAGAAATAACCCCATAGGCCTATATAAGAACGGACAAAAAAAACAAACAAACACACAACAAAACAAACACCAACAAACAAACTCAAAACCCTCAATAAAATTCTTGACATAATCCCAGGCCTCAGTTGTACGCTATCTATCTATCTATCTATCTGTCTGTCTGTCTGTCTGTCTGTCTGTCTGTCTGTCTGTCTGTCTGTCTATCTATCTTTCTATCTGTCTGTCTGTCTGTCTTTCTATCTGTCTGTCTGTCTATCTATCTATCTATCTGTCTGTCTGTCTGTTGTCATATCTATACAGAGGGATAGCCAAGTGCAATAAAAGCTTGAATATATTGCGAAAGATCCATTTACACAAATTATAAATATTGCAAAAAATTCACGAAAGAGACATATATATAGCCTTCAGCCAAAATCTACCCATCTTCTACTTCTAAATCAAAAAATGTCCCCAACGAACAAAAGCTTGCAGTGAACAAGACAAAAACCCACCTCATTTTGCTTTATTAAAGCCTCTCCTCCCTTCCCCTCGCTCCTACTCTATCTCTGTCTGTCTGTCTGTCTGTCTGTTTGTCTGTCTGTCTGTACGTACGTATGTCTCCTCCCCCTCTCTCTCTCTCTCTCTCTC